TGGTCTCAAATTCATAGGTCTGCCTACCTCTGTTTTGGCCTCCCAAGTGCTAGGATTAAAAGGCACACCACCATCCATGCCCAGCTCTCTTTCTCCTGATATTGACTGGCTAACTACTAGCCATTTCTAACTCTCAATCTGTGAGGTTAGTAAAACGCTAACACAGTCCTTCTAGCATTCCGCTTCCCACCAGAACTCAGCAACCACAGTAAGAAGAACTGTGAATGGTACATCTAGACACAGCTCTTCTCAGTTAAGATCTCCAGCTGACCAGTGACATTTAGTCATCTGTGTGGCTAAGATCCCTGGCCTCCTGCTTTGCCCTGTGTGGGTTTCAGAAAGTACATGAGATGACATGAAACCTTCCTGCTCATGAACAAGGACAAAAGTGAAGCAGAAATGAACTTTCTTAGCTGCATTTCAATTCAGCTCTTGGAGATCATTGTTAGCTCAGAATACGGAAGTAGCTCAGGGTCCAGGAGCATCAAGTACCTTACTACTTTTCATTATGTACCAGGGATCACACCGAATTTCCATGTCAAAGACAAAAAATCAGGGCCAAAGGAAATCAAGATGATTCCTAAATAGTAGGATAGTCCCTAAAGAAGACAAAATGGTAAAAACTGTTTTATAAGGGAAAATGTGTGAATGTGTGTGTGCATGTTTGGGTGCTTATGTGTGTGTGGGGTGTGTGTGTGTGTGTGTGTGTGTGTGTGTAGCGATGGCTACAAGGGATTTTTGGAGAACAATTACATATGTGCCTGTGTATCTTTTAAATATGAATATATATAGAATATGAATAAAATATATATATTATATATATATATATAATATATATATATAATATATATATATATATAAAGAGAGAGAGAGAGAGAGAGAGAGAGGGAGAGAGAGAGGGTGAAATTAAGAGTTCCCATGAAGGAAATGTATTAAATACTGTTTATGACAAATTTAAAATCAACAGAGTTGCAAAATGTCCATAATGCTTTTGCAACAAACTTGTTATTTGATTACTAGCTATAAATGGGTCATCGTTTTATTTAGAAAACAAGAACACACTGGAGTGCATGGAAAAAAAGGAGGAGGGGGGGAGGGCGAGGAAGAGGAGGAGGAGGAGGAAGAGGAGGAGGAGGAAGAGGAGGAAGAGGAAGAGGAGGAGGGGGGGGAAGGGGAAGGGGAAGAGGAAGAAGAAGATGATCAAGGAGGTCAAGAACCTAGCATCAAGGAGTGATGTCTGAAAAACAAGTCCACACCACTGAAACATGAGTAAAATTGAGGAAACACCACAGGAAACAAGACAGCAAGAAGCTGAGGAGATCCACCTCTGTGTAAGGAAGTCTAAGAATTAAAAATGCTAAATGCCACTTCACCGACTTTAAGGAAAATTTACCTAAGTGCTGTGCAAACCCAGGAAATTTGGAGATATCCTACAGGAAAGGTTTTCACTACACTTGGTAATTCAAATAACATTTGCAGTGGCCTCAGCAGCAAGAGAGCTTTCCAGTGGTGAACATCATTGTGTTTGCTCACCAACAGTCTGATAGGAGGAGAGGCAGGGAGGCTGCTCTTCTGTAACATGAAGTAACATGAATGCTGGGAGCCTGACACGCAAGGGCAGTAGAAGAATTAATGTTTCCAGCCACATGCTATGGAGAGCAAATGCGACCCTGTGGTGGGGTCTCAGCCGTGCACCTGTCAGCAAATCTCTGCATGAGACGTGTGGTACAGACAGCAGCCAAAGTATACTTGAAAATGCATATGTGACTGGAGAGCAGTCGTCTTTAGGATGCAAAATACCGAGGCCTTTCCTACACGATGCTTAAAAAATTATTAATAATCTCTTTTACTCTTCAGAATTCTGAGATGGAAGGCTACTTTTTGTGGGAAAGATAGATGGCACACTAATGCCTGAAATTAAAAAGTCAGCATCTAAGTGCAGAGTGGTCCACACCAGGAGTCCTGATGCTTGGGAAGCAGAGGCAGAAAAGCAGAAAGCAAAATAGAATAAAATCCAATAAATAATAACAATAACTGACAGACCTAAGACATGTGGTAAGACATGACTGGAACTTCACATCTCTCCAAGTCTCCTGACTGTCCCAAGGTCAATGCAAACTGGGATCTGGGATATACAGCACAGTCAGATGCAATAAAGTATTTGTAAGGGAAGAAAATAAAGTCATAGTCTGAACAGATTCTTCATTTTTTCAGATTGATGAAGATCCACAGGGAAAGTCTGCACCATGTTAGGGAGCCAAGCAGGGTTCATTTTGCTGGAGGTCAGACTGTAAGGTTAGAAATTCAATATTAAGAATCTTGGCCTTTATTAAGCAGAAAGAGCTCTTTTTGTTTCTGTATTTCATTTATCGATCATCATGTTTGTTTTTGCTTAATTTCGAAAGGCACTCCTGAGAATGGTCAAATAGTTAATCTTAAAGCAGGTTCTAAGAAACAGAGAAGAAGAGATTAGAAGAAGAGATTGAAAGAAAGCTAGAAATCCACCACAAATGTCTAGTCAAAAACACAGGCGTCAGACTCTAAACATCTGTCCTTACGCTCACAGCAGGTGTAGTCTCCACCCCCATCAAGGAAAGTTCTTGCAACAGACATCACTACGGAAAACCACACTGGACCAAAGGCAGAGCTGTGAAGCCCAGTCCCAGTGGACACATCTACAAAACACTCCCTCACTGAAGACTCAGGAAACATCGAGGAAGAAGGGGTGGAGACTGTGAGAGCCAGTGATCGGGGAGTTCGCTGTGAGACCGTGTCCCTGGGAATGTCAGAGGCTACACCCATAAAGTCACCAACCTGACTGCCGAGACAGGAGCTGAACAAGGACAACAGCAATAGACATGTTAAGGGCCACAAGGCCTCAACCCAACAGAGAACTGCAGGCAACTGAGGAAAGCTGCCAGTGGGAGAAACAGTCTTCCTCAAGGAAAAACACACCAATTGGTAATCCGATAATACCAAACGGTCAGTCTTGAAAACATATACATACAATTAACACCACATAGACTGAACAGATTATATTTAGGAATGTATATATACATGTATATATATGTATATATCAAAAACTAATGAAAAAAAAAGCCATGAAATTGCAAGAAAACAAGGAAGGATATATGGAGGGTTAAGAGGGAGGCAAGGACAGAGAAGGAGTATATTTTAATCTCAAGAAGTAGAACAAATAACTTTTTAAGGGAAAAAAAAACAGAGGAAGCTAGACCAGAGAAGTGGCTGAGTAGTTAAGAGCACTGGCTACTCTTCCAGAGGACCCAGGTTCCATTCCGAGCACCCGCATGTTGGTTCACTGTCATCTGTAACTTCAGTTTCAGGACATCATCTATCCTCTTCTGGCCTCCACGGGCACCAGGCATGCACACACAGTGCACAAACACACGTGGAGGCAAGACATCAATACACATAAAATAATCATTTCATACAAACTTTCAAAACAGAGGAGGAGCCGTGTACAGTAACCACTGCTGCGTGCCTGGAGTCCAAGCACTTGTGGCGAGGCGAGGGGTGTGTGTGGGGGGGAAGGGGTTGTCATGAAATTGAGGCTAGCCTGGGCTACATGGCAAAACAAGAAAGGAAGGGTGGCAATTAGGGCAAAAGAAAGGAAGGTAGAAGGGCTGTGGTGTTGTCGGAGAGCTACGAGACACTCTTGAGATGGCGCAGGCTCGGTAGGAAGGAGGTGCCACATAACTCTAGTGTACAGAGACTGGGGGAAGAGGTGAGACGTGCAGCAAGGACAGAAACACAAAGCACAGAGCCAACAAGCACTATCGGTCCTGGCAGATATCGGCTATAGAAGCTGGCAGAGGCCTGGCAGCTTTTTTCACCTCGGGATGACATTTTGGACATGTGATCAAAGGACCCCGGGCTAGAGTCCAATACCACCCAAGGAATAGACTCAGGCTCCTCTCTCTCTCTGTCAGCTATTAGAAGACCTCCATCTCTGCCATCTGTCCAGCCCCCAGGGTACATAATTTAATTACTAATATTTGATATTAAATTTAAAACCAAGTAACCAAACTGATGGCTACAGTTCATTGGATTTCATCCATATTATAATGAAATCCATAACAATCCGTAATAGGTAAATACGTATATAATTACATGCTATTTTGAGACTAGAAAACCTGAAAACCTGTAGATACTCTAAACTTGGTGAACATAAAGTAGACTACAAAAGGATTACGAGTCTTTTATGAGAAATGAATTCTATCCCACAGATATTCAACCAACCTTTACAATCAAGTGTGGGGTTGGAAAATGGCTCGGTCAATAAAAATTGGGGATCTGAGTCAATGCAGTTAGCACTGACCAAAAAAAAAAAAAATCCAGACACAGTAGGGTACAAATGTAACTCTAATGTTGGTTTGCAGTGAGGTAAAGAATACTGACAATTCCATCCCTGGAGCTAGCTCACCTGGAGCTGGCCACCCAGTCTAGACAAGTCAGTGAGCTTCAGGTTCAGTGAAAAATAGTGTCTCAGAAACCAAGTGAAGAGAAATTGAGGAAAGACACTTGCCATTGGTCCCCGGCCTCCACAAGCACATGTACACACATAAACAAACACTGGTGACTATTCTGTACATCACGCATATGAAACATGTTTTCATTTCATCATTCCAACTAGGTTTTAAGACTGACAACTTCACTTCTTTTTTAAAAACCTACAGGAAAGAAATATAGCTATCTCAATTCATAATTTAAACCTTGTCAGCATCCAGAGCCTCTAAAAAAAGAGCTGCTGTATGCAAAACTGAAACCATGCAAGCTTCATGCTGTCTCCGTGGCCAGCATTGAACAGTTCCCTGAGAGAACCAGAAGAAAAACCCATTATCAGTCATGGGAATCAGGTAATCTCTGCACTATGAGCCAGAGTATGCAGGAACCTTGAAAACTTCTTCCTGTTGCTTTAGTGTTTTCATTTCTAGCTGGGAAGAGGACCCTTCAGGGTGATGGGGGCAGGTGGCGCTTACCTTCTTGGCTCTTTGGGCTATGTCTGGTGTTCTTGTCAGCAGCTTCTCGATCAGGTACTCTCTGTTCTGCAAAACAAATGACCCCATCAGTTTAGCATCGAATCAGATGCATGCAAATTCTCAGCCATATCAAAATAGCAGATTTGATTTGAGGGTTTCAAGCATGTTACCTTGGCTTTCTGGAAGAATTTGCATTTTAAAAGTTCTGCTGCTGTGGGCCTGAAAGATCAATAATAAATTAGAGTTGAAACAATCGCCACATAATAAATATACTGCCTTGATGCTACAGTGTAACCTTAGAGCATTTCTGGATGACTGATCTTAGGGCAAGCAAAATCAACCAAGCTAGTCACAAGCTGGCACTGAACAAAGCAATGTCGGTTTTCTAGTTCTTTCCAAATTCCTCTACTGCCAAACATATAAACTCTTGTGAGTTAAGGTTTGGGCACAATCAATTTTCCAGCCTCCGTCCTTATACTTCAGTACGTCAACTTTGGCGTTTCTGAAAGTTGGCAGAGAAACTGCTGGGAGCTAAATTCCTATGTTATTAAGAAGCCTTACCAACTGCAATATGACCTTGTCAAAGGATTGACAGAGTGGACTTTGTTCTGTCACTACCCAGGAGCAGCATCTACGGAGAAGGGCTCACCGGTAGGCAGATCCTGTGTGCCACCTCAGTCTGTATAGTATTGAAATGACTGTTTCAACTGTGTATGGACCACTTTTTATTTTTCAAGGAAATTTAAAATGGCATGATGATCAATAAAATGCAAATTCACTTAAAAGCATTTCTGGATATGTCTACTTCCTTATGGTATCATGTGACCTGCTTCTCTATGTCCCATAAACTTAAAGTCAGGTCCAGAAGGCTCAAAGACTTTTCATCATGCATATGAATGGTGACAAGGCTGCCCATAAAATTACACATCTAGAAACCTTTCCGATTGCAGAGTTTGGACAGGAGGTGCATAACTGCTTGAGTGTTTGTAAACACTCCAAAATTCAGAAGCCTCTGAAATTCAAAGCACAGTTTGGATCTATCCTCCCCAAGCTGTGCTTTCACAGACAGTCATGGCTTTGTCACAGCAGCATCACAGAGGCGCACCATTGGGTTAGTCCACTAATAGTGATGCTAAGTTTAACTGCTTGGCCCCCAGCCTCCAAAGCTCAGCACTGGAAGGTCTGGTTTATCCACAGCAATTAGCTAGTGTCCTGCTGAGTGGCGTCTTAGCGTGCTGTATGGATATCTTGTTGCTAAAAACCTTCCCCTGTGGTTTACCATCTTTGCCTTAAATTTCACAGGAGGTAGCAGGACATTGATTTCCTACTTTTAGCATTCCTTCTATGTTCAACTGACAAAGGTCCACACAGAATAGCTTCCTTTGCCAATACTTCCTTAATTAGGAATCCATTTCACATCAGCTTTCTCTATTTGTATCTGTACAAAGAGGGGGGAAAGCTGCCCTAATGATGCGCATCCAGATAAGGCAGGACACGTTGGTCGACGGAGAACTTGCCTAACATCCAGCAGGCTATGTCCTCCATTAAGAAAAGGGGGCGGGGGAGAAAGGGGGATGAAGTAGGAGGAACGGAGTGAAGAGTAGATTGTAGGATAATCTTCAAGATGATGAATTCATCTTCCAAGAGGAAAAGGGGGAAGAGGTAAAGGAAGCATTCTAGATCAAAACAGACATAAAATATAAAACTCAACACAGCTCATTACCCTTGATTAAACACTGGGTTTGGAAAGGAAGCAGCAAAAATTACAAAGGACATTTAGAAATCTCTAAGTTGACTACATAGAAGCCTGTAAAAAAAAAAAAAAACAAAACAATACTGCTCATTTTCTTAAGTGTGGGGAAAACATCATGATTATGTAGGCATGTGACCTTGTTTGGAAGAAACACGCAGTGAAGCGTGGTCCCTTACTTTCAAATAATTCAGTAAATAAACTGTGCACAGAGGAGACTGAAGTAAACACTGAGCTATTTTCCACATTTTCTGTGTGTTTTAAAATTTTCATAATGGCAAACTGGATGGGAGAAGAAAGTATCATAGGACATTAATATTTTCACAGGCTATCTAAAGTACAAGGAGAATTATACTGGGGTGAGGGTACAAGGGTAAGTGCCCTTGTGCCTAAAATGATAGGCAGCTCCTGCTAAGATGTGACATTGTCTGCCTTAGTCTGACAGTCAAAATTTGTATTTCTGTGCAAGGCAGATTTTTATTGTTACCGCTTTTTCCTTTAAATTTCAAGAATGCTAGTTATAACTCCTGGTCAAAGAAGCCCAAGTCACGCATCCACTAAAGGAGTTGCTAATTGATACCTGCTTTGATTAAATAAAGGCCTAAACAACAGGAGGGCCATATCCCTTGGCAAACTCATTAAATGCATGAGTCTACATCTTGTTTAAAAAGCAAAGAACCTGGAGATGAGGAAGGACTTAGCCGTTTTACATGATGCACCGATTACTATTTTGCTGCACTATTTTTGTCTTGCTCATCAGCCTGTGCTGCCTACTCTCAGAGACGTGTTCTCCTGGAAGAAACCAAATCACACTCAACGATCCCAAAGCCTCTGAGGCTACCTCTGTCAACCTCACGCAATTTTGCCTTCAGTTGTGTTAGGGTTCTTACCTGTCCCTACATCCTGACAAAGCATGCTGGGCTTTTCTTGACTCAAAACATTTCACGTAGCCAACTAATACACCTTGCTCATAAGTCAAGAAACATTCAGATGTCAGCATCTTTGAGCACTCTCACCCACCTTCCCTGAGCAGGAAACTGCTGGGAACTGCTGCTTGCTGGCTCAGGAACTGGGCTTTTCCCACTCCCCTTCTCCAGTCATCCCAGTCTATGATCCCTGTCCGACAGCTCCACTCCATCATGTCACAAGCCCTTCCAAGGCAAAAGAGCCTGGAGAATTCATTTTTATATTCCCAGTGCCCAGCACAGAACAGCAAACTACTGTAGCTCAATTTCACACCCCAGCGTGAAGTGAAGGCGATGCTGGTAGACATTTGAGTCCAGGACTGTAACTCCTGCAGCTAAGTTTAGCCAGCACTGGAGTCTAAGCATCTGCTCAACACAGTGAAGAAAAGCTGGGGGTGGGGTGGGGGTGGGGAGAGAGGCACTAAAAATGAGGCTCGCGCTAGCAAAACCAAGAATGGGGACAGTGGAGGAGCCCAGTTGAGGACTCAAAATGATTTACCCCTTCCCCAGTAACCACTCATTCTCCTTGTACATGCCAAAGGTCAAATGTTAAACCAAGGTAGAGAGAAGCCTGTGGAATGCTGGATTGACCTTGAGAAATAGGACTGGGAAAATACTCTCCTTTCTGGAGAAAGGTCATTTCTATGGCAACCAAAAATAAAAGGGGAAAAGCATACTGCAGAGAAAAATCTTTTTCTGCCCCCTCTACTCCACCCTTATCCTTCATCACAATGACATCATAAGTAAAGGGAGGGTGGCTTAGAAAGCCATCATCCTCTTTCTCTCTCTGTCTCTCTCTCTCTCTCTCCACTCTAGTCCAATACAGAGAACAATTCAACAGCAGATCACTGGTTTGTACTTTAGTCAGCTCAAAGAGTTCATAGCTTTAGAGTAAAATCACACAACTGGCAAGCTACCTCCATGGGAAAGTAGGGGAAAGGGAAAGCAGGAGAAATGAGGGAGAGGCTAGTGAGAGGCAGGCAGAGGTGCCTGCCGCCCGGCTAAACATAAGTTCACAGAAACAACCACGAAAGGCGTACTGTGCGGCCATCAACCCTGCCAGCCTTCTCACTGAGTTCTACTGGAGCAAGGGATCTTCATGGCCACCTCTCTTGTGGCTGCTACCCACCACGTAGCAATGTATAGCTAATGTAACAGTGTTTAGGTGTAAACACTGTCTTATAAGAAATGCTAAAAATGCTACCAGCCCCTGAAATAGTCTGGTCTCTGAATGACTGAGTCAGAAATCCGTACAAACAATGCAGTACTCTCCAAGTACCACACTCTCAAAAGAAAAGCCCTCAACAGAGTCCTCTGATTCATATGGATGGGCCAAAATCCACTGAGACTAAAATGAATCTCAAAGGACTCAGGATGGAGTATTATACAGTCTGAACACTTCTAAAAACGTGTGTTAATAAGTCCTAACGGCTTACTGGCCTCGGACAGAACTGCTTTGCACAGCCCTCCCTAGGCAAAGTAATATTCCAGTCTATCTCACTTCTGACAGATCTATCAATGAAACACTGAACACCCCCCCCCTTCGAGTGCTCAAAGTAATTGTTCACTCTTTCTACAGGTGTCCATCATTTAGGAATATGTTAAGCTCTAAGATCAAGGCTCATTGTATTAGGAAATAACCAGATATTCTGCCATGCAGACACTGGCAACTCGGCCCGAGCTAATGAAAAACACAAACCTCCATGGGACACGGGGCTCCTACACCTCAACTCTGTATCAGAAAGACAGTGCAGAGCCCAGCAAGCTAGCACAGGAGGATCTACGTCCTGATAATCCCTGCCACCATGTCTGTCACTGGTTACTCAAGTCTCAGCACTAGCTTTGCTGCCTGTCAACTACGGGGAGATGAGCTAACGCAGGCAACACAAACACACAAGAATTACCAGTTTTCCTTCAACTCCTAAACCCTCTTGAACCTGATTTCTGTTTCTGAGACCCTCCTCAAAGGATTTAAATCACCGCCAGATGGCAAACTCCCATGAGTCTCCACATATCAAGAAGAGTGTGTGTCATTCTAAAAGTCTGAATTTGTTGTGTAAATCGACAAAAGCATACTGTGTAATAGTGATTTAAGAAGATACAACATTACCATACTATGATTAGTATATAAAATGACAGCGATTCTCCCGATAGGATGGAAGCAAATGATGAAGGAAGTCTCTATATCCAGAGCTCTGGAGCCCACCCCAGGCTCTGCAGCACCTCTCGGCGGTCAGTTCACCACATCCTCAGAAGAACCCTTTGAAACTAGTATTACTAGAACCATTATATAGACAAAGAAATTAAGTCATGAGAATGAGAAAAAAATAGAGCTCAGAATCCCATTCGGTATTGAAAAACTACAGAAAGAGAAGGGGAAGGAAAAATAACAGAGAGAAAGCAGAAAGCCTTAAACAACATGAACAGAGCAGAGGGACTAAAAATTTTCTGGAAATGTCACCAAAATTTCAAAATTTTATCATGTGCATAAATGCTTTTTGTTATATCAACAATATATTTCTTCCCATGATGATTGTTTGTGTGCGTGTGCGTGTGCGTGTGCGTGTGTGTGTGTCTGTGCTCTTCCTCACATCCATCTTCACCGTCTGTCTCTTTTCATTAACAGAAAGAGCCTCTGGGGAGCGGGTACAGCACTAATGGTCTCTAACCCCTCTGACAGAGCAGCTGCACGGTGTGGGGATAAGGTTATGGAGACAGCACTTAGGAGGCCTTCACCTGCTCACACATGCTAAACAATGCAGAGTGCCTTGACAGAGAGGCTTCAGGCACATACCAACACAAAGAATCTGCCTTTCTTCTCTTGCAGCTCACTGTCTCACTGAGGGACAGAGGGAACCGGGATTCAGAACTCACACGGTGTATAAAACCTGGAAAAGTCTTTAAGTTTATCAAGAAACAAAATCGTTTAAATACACTGCACTGAAATCAAATTATTTCGACTAAATCAGAAACCTGTCACCACACTAACAAGTCTACCCCGGAACCATTTTCAGAGTTGGGTGGCATTACTTGTCACAGCCACTAGATGGAACCTCAACTTATTCCAGAATGCCAAAGGCTGTCAGTAAAGACAGAAGACTAGCTAGCACCAGGTGTAACGTCAATTTTTTCCTTGTAGCAATGCCATGCCCCCCCCCACCCCTGCCCCAAAAAGGAAAGGGTAAGCAGAAGCTGAAGAAAAAAATTAAAATCTAAGAGCATTGTTACCAAGAGGAGAGTGGAAAGGAAGCCCAGGGGAAGGTCACTGGTGGAAGACTAATCCCTAAAGACCAACCATAAGGACAAGAGAAACGTCGACCACAGTCTGTGGGTATTATTTGCGGGAAATAATTAAAAATTTGCAATAGCAAATAGTCACAAAATGCCACAAGGACTGCTTTCAAGTTAAAGAAGTCTGGTCTAACTACTATTATTATTATTAAATCTAAGTAGAAAATCAGCACCGTGGTGAACTTATGATAGACAGAGGGACTATCCAGGTCTGTTAGGGAGATGCCAAATCTTCACAAGGCGTAGGCTTGCCACTGATTTGCATCATTAAAACTCTCCTTTAGATGATAAAAGATTCTGGGTTCCATTGTCTGTCAGGGGTATTTCAAAGTCAAGGAATTAAAAAGGAAGAAACAGTTCAGAAAACTGTTGTTCCAGTGCAGGGCAGTAACATAAGAATACAAAGGAAACACTAACTCAATTTAAAGTCACTTGCTTCCCCTGTCCTTCTAGGGAAACTTTAGCCTGCTGCTAATCTGTTAACCGCACAAACAACCTGTTCTGCAACTAAAAGGAAACTCATGCAAAATTCAGTAACTAGGCCTGGTTCAGACTGGAGCTAGCCAGATATTCCAATCCTGGGAGGTCTGCTCAACCTAAGTAGTGCAGGATGTAAGCTAGGCTTCCCTAACCCCTGTCAGCGGCTGCTTTGTCACTTTCTCTCGGTGACAGCACCTACCCAACTACCCAGAGCAAGCAGGACCAATTCTTCCTCCTCCTCCCTATAGTATTACACTGGCTTTTTCCTTCCCCTCCCCTTCCCCCTCCCCCTCCCTCGCTCCCCCTCCCCCTGTGCTACTCTGGCTTCTCTCCCCCTGCAGGCTTTCTCCCTCTACCAGGATGATGCACGGGGGCCAGAGCAAGGTAGGTTCTTCTCTTCCACCAACATAGCTTTGTCTAAACTCAAAGCCGGTGAGTTGATCCCACTCTGAATGTGCCATACCTTTTGGAAGGATCTTTCTGAAGACACAGTGAAAGCAACTTTCTGAAGGACTTGCCGTACTTTTTCATCATTTCTTTATCCTCTACGCCAGTTTCTAAAGTAGGCGGGTCATTTTGCAATGTCAGCATTAGCACCTACAGCCAAAACAAAAGAGGAGCAGGCCTCTGCTGAATGAGTGATGATGGAATTTTCACCGTTTCCACAAAAGCATCAACGGACATACCTTTCCCAGGATTTTAACGTCCTAAAGTCGTGTGCTAAAAGCACACATTTTTCCTAGCATATCTACCCACACCCTCCTTCGCCTTTTGGTTATTCTCATGGACAGAACTTATGAAATTTGCTCTGTGTGTTAGGAACAGTCTCTGAAAGCCACAGAGAAAAATGTTTTCTGGGAAGTAGCTAGCTCTCACGGGACCTCAGGGAACATGTAGCTACAGCGCAGGCTGATTAGGAAAGAGTGGTGGTCAGGAGACAAAGGGACATTCAAGTGTGAAGGCCATTCATAAGCACAGAACCCAGTGTGCTCCTGCAACATATTAGCAACCCTAAAAATAAAGCCAGAGCAGCCCAGGAGGTAAAGAGAACACAGCATGAGAAAACTGCTAAAAGGGCTTGGTTACAAGAAAATGAAATAATAAGATACTGATGGCCAGGATATAATCATAAGGTACAAAAAAACTATAATCATATCAAAGTCTGTGCTACATGGCAGGGGACAAAACAAAGTACAGTTTCGAGTCGAAAAGGAAATAATTCAACTCTTTCACACTAAGAGGAGTATTTACTGAAAAAGCGAGTAGACGGTATAGCGTGCTATTGACCTATAAAAATGAATGAACCTCCTTAATGCATAAATCAGGCCTAATTTATGCAAATGCTATACATGTCAAGACGCCTTTGGAGCACTTTGAGGCACAGATGAAAAGAGGAATAGATGAATGTTAAAACTGACTGTTGTCTGTGGAAGACAACATCCAGAAGGAGACTGTGGGTTCCTGTGAACTGAAACATAGTCCTGGCGGGCATCAAGCTGGGATTAACAAGGGCCTCTCCAGATTCAGGTGGGAAAAACAAGTGGAAACAGGGAGATAAAGAAACATAAAGAATAAAAAAAATGGATAAAAGACAGAGTTCTCGGAGTTCCTCTGGTATTTTTCCCAGAAAAATCTCTTCTATGGGTTACATGTCAACTTCAAATTTTCTGCTAATAATCATAAAGATATTCACTATATGCATTAAGCATATCAATGACAGTTTAACTATGTTAACATTTTAGACAGAAATAGACATCAGACAGGGTATGGCGTGTAAGCTCAGCAGTCCGATCTGCTCAGCACAAGGGAAATCCTGGGCACAATCACTAAAAAAAAAAAAAAGTTATTTTTTTAAAGTAGGATATTAACACCACTAAAACATTAACAGAGATTATTTGTGGCTGGTGAGACATAGGTGATTATTCTTTCTTGCTATTTCTTTTAACGCTTTGAGGTTTTCTACAATTAGAAAGTGCATCTGGGGGAAGGTGAAGAGGTTGGAAATTCAACAGGGATCAATGCCAAACCTCACATGCCCTAAGCATTTTCTCTATCCCTAAGCTCTGCCCCGCTTCCCACTTTATAAATACCACTAGACGTAGGGAACCGATTTATAAACAGGTTTCAATTCTTTTAAATTATCTAAAAGCTAAAAGTTGAAAAACAAAGCCAGCATAGAGCAGAGTTTCGATGAAACGTCTCCATACTTTGCACTGAACAACTGCAGCCTCAAGACAAAGTCTAGTTGGGGGAATTAGAAAGGCTACCACTATTCCTGAGGTAGAGCAGATAGAAGAATAGCAAAAACCTGAAAATAGTATCCAAAGTATAAGGTGCCTCAAAACACAGTGACTCACTCCATCAGATGAGCCACAACACCGCGCTCTGGGAGCAGGCTGAAAATGGAACAGGCAGTCTTTATTTTAAAAAGAAAGCAAGCAGCCCGAGAGCCATCTGCAAATGGAACAGCCCGCTAATCCATTCTTAGACTTCCTTGGGAGACCTGAGATCTTTCTGCTCTTTCAAGAGTCCATAGGTCAGGGCCAGGCATCTATCGACTCTGCACTGTACCAGTTCTGTCAACTCAGCGCACAAGAACGTGAGTCAGCCTTCAACTTGGCCAAATTCCCCAGAGAACTCCCACAAGTCTAAGCGGAAAATAAGCATGTTCAGGAGAACTGAAGAACCCATGCCTACCACCTCCACCCTCCACCACCACCCCCATCACAGTTCCAACCCTACAAATCTCCCCAGTGGTCATTACTTTCATTGGAGGGTATTTGTGGTAAGGCGCTGCTCCGGTTGCTAATTCAATGGCAGTTATTCCAAAACTCCACATGTCAGCCTTGAAGTCATAGCCTCTCACCTAAGATGGAGAAAGAAGATGAACAAACAAAAAAAAATCACTCACAATCATGTAGCAGGCCTGTTATACATCAGTACATCCACTACTGTGTCAGCTATCCAAAGCTGTTCATAAAATGTCAGTGTGGTTTGCTTAGGGCCAGCTAGCAATCAGGAATTTAAATCTACACTGTATGATACATTCTACTATAATAATTGATTGAAATGAAATATTAGCACCTGCAGTGCATCAAATCTGTATTATGTTAGATTAATTAGAATATATACATATATATATATATATACATATACATATATATATCAGTGATACATATGACTGTACAATAACAACCAGGTTAATAGTTTTTTTTACCTGTTCCATGACTTCAGGGGCCATCCAACATGGGGTACCAACAAATGTTTTTCTGACTTTATTCCGTGTAACATCACCCCCTGTTGCTAAGAATGCACTTACTCCAAAATCTGAAAAGAACAACAACAACAACAAAATCAACCTTATTTTATACTCCATGTGTCTCATCAATTCTGGTCCTAATCTCATCTCTCTCCGTTGGGCCTTAGGTAGTAATGGACAGCTGCAAACACACTCATGGGGCTTTCTCGGAAATAAGCCAGGCTTGTCCTGCCGTCTGTGGTCTGCCATTCTCTATCCTGAAGAACATGCTATCAGAGGCAATGGGCCAGGCGGCCTCACCAAACTATAGGATGTTTTCTACTAGACAGGTACAGAAAGCCACTGCTTCTTTTAACTACAATATCAACGAAAGCATAAATACATTTCAAAAGCCCAGAATATAAAATGTCTTGGCTTTTATCTAAGCTTTTTTTTTCCTTAATCACTAACAAGAATATCACTGGAGGAAGTAAGACTAGTATGTAACACAGTTATTTGTATGTTTTATTGTGATTTTCTAGCCCATTTAATTCTAAGTTACCAATGTTCAAAAAGCTAATTTTATAAAGAAAAAACGAATTCACCCTATACCATCATGTTCTAGACTAAACAGTATATATTAATACTTTGGCCAAAATCATAAAAGCAAGCTGCATAAGTCTGTCTTTATGAAACTGGTCGCTCAAAGAAAAGGCTAAGTCAGCAGAGACTGTTTCTTGCCCTACCCCGCCCCTTTTTTTCCACTCATAGTTTCCTGGATAGTTTTCATTAAGTGCAGATGGAATGATATGTAGAATTAAAATTATCTCTTACTCTACTTCATTTATTAGGTGCATGTGTACATGATTTATTAGGTGCATGTGTACATGAGTACATGTGTCTGTCTGTGTTTATCTAGTGTACTTGTGGAGGCCAGAGGTCAATTTGCTTCTCATCTTCTACAGTATCAAGGTGTCTCTCTTGCTGCTTCTGCAGTGCTACATACTACAGCTCCCTGGCCAAGCTGCAAACTTGCAAGTTTTTCTCCCCCTCCCACAGGGATCACTCCTTCATATTAGGCTCTCATCGGACTCATATTCTTCAGGCTTGTGTGGCAAGCACATTTGCCCAGGGAACTATCACACTGGCCCAAAACATCATACTCTTCCTAATACCCATTACATATTAGAAATTTGGTGTGAGATTTCTTTGGTATACTGGACATGAATATAGACAAATATGCAAAAATAACTTCTATAGTTGACAATAGTGAACAGCTGCTGCTTATTAATGCATGCATCCTCACTTACATTTTTGCATATCAAGTAAAAGCAGGTTATAAATTAAAGAGCCAACTACTCGAGACTAGCATAGTTCTTGGTAACAGCCTCATCCAAGTATCCCCAGAGACTGAAGTGGTAGATAGAAAGGTCAGGGTGCCGCAATACATCCCTTTAATCCCAACACTTGAGAGGCACAGGCCAGCCAGGGCTACATAGTAAGACTCTGTCTGCCAAAAAAGGATGCTAGCCAATACCTCGCCACATTGCAGGATGCTATGGAGGATGCTCGCTTGCTGCAATGCTGCTCTGATATGATTCTCTTCTACTGGTTCCCTTTGTTGACTGTCAGGATGCTAGCACTTACAAAGAACAACCTCAAGTACAAACCTCCACCAAAGGCATATGGGAGTTTGCTTTAGACCTCTGGCACTGTTGTGGTGTGATTTAGAAACACTGTAACCAGCCCCATAAGTGCAAATATGTTGGCTTTAGTTACAGTTAAGCATATTCATCTCCCAACAGGACATCGGTTACAAGCAAATGAAATGAAAGTTAGGAGATGGCATATTTGATACACTGCTACTTGCATGTTAATATTGAACGTAAGTTATATTTTGAAATATGCCATACAATTTAATTTACATATACAGAGCCTACTCTGAAATTCTTTAAATGACTACACCACAGTAGCTCAGAGAGGAATCAAGTGAACTGTCATTTGTCACCTGCTACTGGTGACTGACAATTCTAAATCTTTTAAAAAATATAAATTTTAATTTGACTTACATTTCTCCCATGAAGTTCAACAAAGAATTCAACACTTTATTTGTATTGAAATCATCTTATCATATGAAAATATTGAATAAATATATATTATCGATAAATAATGTGGATAAAGGTTGCTTTGAGGAAATATCAGCTTCTTACACTAAAGGTAACATTTAAAGATATGAGCCAATTAAACTATAGTTATTACTCTTCAATTCCTTAAAATTCTACCTGCTTACCTTATACATTTGAAAAGCTAAAAAAAATATTAGTAGAGAAAGATACACAGTAGCAATTAACTATTGACAATCCCTCTTCAATGTATCGTCCATGATTCACACGAGTCACATACTTATTCACAGCCTAAGCTGAGAACATCTACTTTCAAGTCAAAAACAGATGGCTAAATGTCTTTGGAGCTCAACAAAAAAAGAAAAAGAAAAAAAAATCCAGAAGCAGAAAATATCAACCCTAACATCCACTCAGCACTACAACTGCAGAATAGTGACAATTTGCAACTATGTGTGGCTAATACAGACGTAGAACCATGTATCCGTACTGAGGAACAGATCCTGAGAGAAGATCATAGTTACTTACACAAACAAGAAAATCAGTATATTCTGTTCTGTTCAGATAGTACACATGTGATGGTGAGAACAAGTCAGGGAAGAACAGTGAAGAGAAACTTGGTTCTCCTAGGGATGCCTGCATACAGCTCACTGGGGCCAGATACCCTTAGGTCAGAAATCATGAACACTTTTCTGGCAACAGAGTCAAATGAATCCAGCTGGCCCACCTTTCTGCTTTTGCAGGATGTAAAAGCTGCTGTAAGGAAATGGTCAGGAAGAGTTCTGTCACCTTAGCAGCGAAGGGCTCCAAACTCTTCTGAATCCATTCACTCCTTTCATTCCTCCAGTCAGGTTTTCCTTTAAGCCAACTTACTTTTTGCTAAAAGTCCTGTGGCAGCCTCCTTAATCCCCATCTTCTGCTCCTCTCAGTCCCAGAATCAACTAAAGAAAGAGACCATTTATGCCACAGCCCCAAGGCCTCCTTAAAAGCCTGGTAAGACACTCTTGCCCCTTAAGGTGAAGTCAAAGTCCTTTAGCCTAACACATAAATATCAACCCCTTCCTCTCCTGCACATCTGTCCCTGCTCCCAGATCCAACCAGGACCTCCAGCCCCCCCAAAATGTCTTCCATTGATGACAGCTTTTCCCAGAGAAAACAAACACCAGTGTCTTTATAGAAAAGTTTCCTTGCTCCTTTTACTGTCGGCAACAAACCCATATTTAAAAAAAAAAAAGCAAAAACAATGGGAAGAGGCAATTCCTCATGCCTGATTTACTCTACAAAATTAGTCTGTCTGTTATGTTGTTACAATGTCTAAAATCAACACATACATTGTGATATTCTACTTGTAATACCATACATAACCCAGGAGCTCAGCTGGCCTCAGAGGGGTCCTGGATACCAGAGGACCCTGGTTACCAGAGGTCGATATGAATATTCTTATCTAACTATAGAAAAGTAAGATCAAGGTCAAATGCCAAGGATGTGTGACAGCAGAAAACAGGGACCCCTCCAGGGGCCTAATGGATGCTGGGAAGAAGCCTTTACTTGTGACAATGGAGACTCTCAGCACAGAAAAGCTGCAAAGTATTTGAGAGCTTTTTCTATACCTTACATGAAAATCACGAAAAATATCAGTCAGGCCTAAATATAGATTCACTCTCTGGTACCCCTGTGTAGACTTGGTTTACTCGTGCCAAATGCAAGGACAAAAGAATTCTTGGTGTGCCTGCCGAAAGGGAACTTTTCATTCACCTACAGGGAATGAGATCATAGACTTCCCTGAGCTTACAGGATAAACTGGGAGAACCTTCTAGGGGCTCGCTATTAATGAATGGTGAAATTGGTCTGAAAATCAGTATCATTAAGAGTTAGGAGAACTCCATTAAGTCACCAGCCCTTGCCTACCACAACTTTCCTCAGCACCTGCTATGCTCTAAAAGGAACAGCTGTTGTGGTGGAGAAGCCGTTCAGTAGCAGTACTCACCATCAAACAGCCAATAAAATGTAGTATTTTACTCTACATACTGTTAACATAATATAAATATATTTTCATATATATATATGAAACTTTGTATAGTAAACTCTGACACTGGGTCAGTTCAACATCTGGTAGAGAAACACAGAATTTTATTTGATAGTTCAGAACTTTCTAAAAGTAATTCATAATGTATAAGACAAGCACCAAGGTTTCAGTACTCCGCACTGGCTCGCTGAAGAGAGGTGGATGGCCTCATATCTTTGGAGGAGGGAAGTCCTGGAGAGGTCTTAGCTACCAGAGACCCCTGTTACTAGAGGCCAGGGTTTTATAAAGTCAAGCAGCTGAGTGAGAAGCTTGAGGGGTCCAATCTCAAGGTCTGCCCACAGAGAAGGCAACTTGCACCTGGTCCAACTAACACCAGGGACCAAACTGGCTGTCTCTAGAGAATATTGAGAAAGTCCAGGCAAAATTGCTCACGAAAGGAAAGGGGCTGGCAGCGGGGGCGGGGGGAGGGAGGAAGAAGGGGAGGACTGGGAAATGGGACATGATCAACCGCAGCTGTAACTCAGCAGTGCAATTAACAGAGTGGGATCCCTGACTTAGTGGATACCGGAATCGGAAAGGAGGAAGGGAAAAGAAGACTCAAGGCTTGCCAAAGAACACAGTGATAGAGGACAGAAAATAAAATCATAGTCCTTCTCAAAGAAAGCCAACACGATCAAAATGGAATATGGGGGATTAATGTTAATGTCTAAGCTTGCCCAGAGTAAAGGCCAAGTTGTGATTATACATGTCAGAAAGAGAAGTTCAACGTTCTTCGGTCAAATGTTACACTCATGTTATCAAAAACAATCTCTTTATAAATGTTATATTCATGTTACAGTCAACATAACTAAATCTTATATTCATGTCATCAAAAACAATCTTTTTATAATTTAACTTGAAGCTGGGTTTTTTGGTTGTTAGGTTTTGGTGATAGGGTTTTTTT